GAAGTGTACAAACACGTCCTGTTGCAGAGAAAAAAGGTTTCATCCATTGCAATCTTTTTAGAATTTTTCACACTGCATCACATAATGAGACATGCGAGAAAAAAAAAAAGACGGAGATGCATTACAGTGTGCCATATCCCGTTTACTACGATTTATATGTCATGGTTACTCTATGTACAGCTAATGCTGAAGTTCATCGCAGAAAAAGGATCACAGGCCAGGAATGCATGCGAATATAGTATCTACGGAACACTGAGTAATATGTGAGAGTCGCCCAATATGCTATCCTGACCTTGTGAAAGAGTCATTTCTTATTATTTTTCACTAGTTCATTACGTGACTGAATCTATATTTGTGGATATTTAGGAAGAGGAAAACGGCAGTAATTCGTCGCATTATAAAATTCTCACTTCGTAAGGGCCGCGGTAACATTATTTGCTTTACGGTTTAAATAATTTTATGTAACTTGTATTATATTGGAATGTTGAGCTGACAGTTTATATTCTTCTGATGCGCAATGCAATTAGTTGGATGGTAGCTGGTCCAAATTACACCAATTGTGGTATTGTATAACGTGTAAGGTGTAGCATAACAAGAAACGTATATTTACGAAGATGTCAATTCTAGCATAGTGAATGTGGATAGAATATGTAGCCGCCACAATTTTAAACAGCATAGAGGGTTCCAATTAGGTGGGGATAATGTGAAAAAAATTAAGGTTGGAGACCGTTCCGTCTGTTAGTTTAAGCGAAGTGATAATTTTTCCTTGCCATGCCATTTATGTATGCCCGCTGATTGGTATAAATACCGAGAGGCATTTTCTTGGTTCTATTATCTCCTTATCCGTTCTCCTTTAAAGGCAGATGGGTTTCCCAAGTAGTTCGCGAGACCCAAGTCTAAAGAGAAAGATGAATACGGGTAAATGTGTTCCTATAAGGATTCTCCCAGTAACGAGATCTCATGTCTCAGGAGTGGAAAACAACGGACAAACCATTACAGATTCTCTAGGAGGGACGTCAACATTGCTGTTAACATGGCATAATCCATTCACCAGACACGGGTAACAAAAGAAATGTATCTTAAACAGTTGGACAATACAGTCGCGTTCAAATTACCACCGGAATTACCTGACCTAATTGGGGAAGGATACATGAATCCGCCGTTGAGACATTAAATATTATAGTCTTCACATAAAACTTCGAGAACAATACTCCGTGCCTCATGAGGGGATACATGAAATTGATTGCCCCATATCGATGGAAACAATTTTGAGATTAAAACAATGCCAACGTTTGCATATTTATTTATTTCAATAAAGGGGGGTGTCTCCGAAATACACATATCATATAGGCGTGGAGGCATCCATATGACATGTGTTTCCTCATGTTGTACATAAGTAATGGGTATTGATAATAAATGCTGTGTAGAGATCACATGAATAATAAATGGCTTCTGCCTTATACACACGCCTTCGGTAGCGTCGTATACGGATGAAAGGATTTTTAATTATTTATAAGAATCTGAGACCGTCGAGTTCTAATATTGCCTGCACTGTTTATACGTGTATCTAATTTAAAAGCACTAACACATTTAAATATACAGCAAACATGAGCACTTCATATAATCCATTATTGATACAAGTAGACAGGAGAAAGAAAGAAAAGAAAAAAAGTAAAAGGAGACATGAAGACATCAATTGCATGGAAGGTGTGCCATTACTGTAAAATTAAATACTTAAAATATGTTTCCTCTTTGTATTCATGATAAACATCGTTTCTGTCTCTTTCCGCCTATCTATGGTCAAATTTTATGCATGGAAAAAGGAAAGAACGCATAAGAGAAAATGAAGAAGTAGAAGTGGGTCACATGCAAGGAAAAATTTTGTGGCATATGTCCTTTGAAGAAGCCTTCTCCTCAGGACATCCATGTGTGTTTTATTGTACAAAAAAGGAGCATTTTCTTATCGGTAACATTTTATGTTTATTGGGGAGCATTACTTTTTTCGCGATCACCTTCCTGTGTAGCGCAATCGTTATGAGACACCTTAAAAATTAGTAAGACTGGATGAGCATATTTATATGAGTGCACACTTTAGCAATTTCTCCATGACCCCTATAATGGTACATATACCTATATATACGTATGTATACATCTATATATATGTTTGTGTCGTAATATTATCTTGATAAGTTGAATAAGGCTAATATACTCCTTGTAAGCAGTTATAATAGCACAGGCGCCACACCTTGGTGTACTGGAATGGGTTCTGCACATTGTAATAACCCACATATTAGAATATAATGTTGATTTCGTACACATGGTGAGCTTTACGGGAGAATTGTTCCCAGAAGTGTGTGCGTATTATTCCTGGTTCCTTTTTTTTTTTTCTTCTTTTTTCCATAAAGTTCGCAATACTCGACATGTCCTTTATTGGTGTGTACTGATTGACGAGTGAAACTATACCGGCTAACTAGAAGCCGAGAGCACAGGCAGGGTTCTTTCAGCATAGAAAAATGCCTGAAGTTAGACACAAACTGTGAGACAGATTTCTGCTAAGTATACAATTCATAATTAACTGAAGAACTTCATAGTTATCTATCTGGATAACACTACGCCAATTCATGTCAGTCTGGTATCTTTTTAGAGGAGATATCGTTCAGGATATTGAGTTCAAAAATCAAGTAAGCAGCCGATAATGGTGTTAATGGAACTGTTAAATTTATCACTACATCAGTTTAATATTAAATAAGGAACAGATCCATTTTGAATAAAGAGATTAACTAAATACGAAGAAGTATCCGGGTGAATGATAGGAATTAAGCATTCTTCACGGTACAATAAAATGTGGACAAGACAAGATATTTCAATAATTATATTTAAGAGTTCCTCTTGTCCAGTTACGCGAGCCGTCTACTACTAGAAATGTGCTAACGCGGTTTGATTAATTTGGTCCAGGGAATTAGATACTGTAAGCAAAATTTTACAGAAGAAGGGACGGAAAAATACGAGTATTTCTTGCGTATGTAAAGCAACACAGGATACAGCACAATCAAAGTATGTTAATCGCAACAGAACCGTAATCGGTAGGAATCGACGAGAATAATGATCGACCAATTGATTGTGATTACCCCCAAATATATATAATACAAGAGCAGGCAAACCTAGTGAAGGAATTGGGGGGGTGGTTATAATATATTACAGCAAATATATCATAGAGATTAAGAGAAAACTGCAGTATTGAATCATGGAAAGAAACTGAGAATAACAGATGTGTCAATACAATCCAATTCTCCTTTCTGCATATCATGAATTGTAGTAAACTAAGAAAGAAAATACGACATTCCTCATTTGCATGTGTTAAGGGAATCTACATTATGGGTATGAACTGGGGATTCATCAATTCCAATAGACATAAAGAGCATATTGGCCAAAGAGATACAGGTAATTTACATCCCTCTATACATTGCTATGATTTATTGATAACAGCCTATGTTTTTTTGATCTCTTTACACCTTACCATGGGACATATACCCATGGATATATATATATAAGTATACTTTTTCCCTTCTATATGTGGGAATAGTTCATGAGTCATAGAAATAAGGAGTGTTAACCTGGTGAATTATGATGCCCCTCTGGCGTCATACAGGAGAGGGCTACCCAAAAACACAACCAGAACGAAAAAGAATGGTACGGATGGTTAAACATCTTTAAGCACAGGGAAAAAGTAGTTACCAGTATATGCTGATTCAAATTAGAAGATTGTTCACTTGGCATAAAAATGTGCCCCTTTAAATTACACAATTGTTCATAAGGGGCTTCATCTATGCATATATAAAGAGAGTAATGGATTGTTGAATTTGAACTGGCATAATATGAGTTCTAATTGCATATTGACCTTTAATTGTATGATAGATACAACTGAAAGCCTGCTATGGCGCTTAGATTTGTTCATCCCTTTTTGTGGAGACTCCTATGAGTGCAATGGAATACAGATAAGAAGATCAAATGGCTACCGCGTGAAATGGTGGGCCGTCGTGTTTATATGGTTTATCTTATAGTTTATTTTTGTGAATGGGTTCTCATGGCCCATCCTTTTTGTGAATGTGTTTTTTGATGTTTCGATATCTTCCCCTGTATCCCCGTGCATGTAGCATTGTGCCTGTGTATGTTTTCTCATTTTTCTGCATTTTTATGAGAGTTTTTTTTCATTGCGCTTCTTTCTTATAGATGCGTATTCATGTGGGCGAATTCTGCGAACGTGGTTTGTATGTGGCCTAATTTTGCCAACAGGGTTTCATGTGGCCTAATTTTCGCGGACGCCCTTCATGTGGCTTAATTTTTTGCGCACGCACTTCCATGTGGTGTAATGTTTCCCGCACGTGCCTTCAGGTGGCTTAACCTTGCCAAAGTCCTTTCATGTGCATCAATTCTTGCGGGGGGTCTTCTCATGTGTTATATATCTGTCGCACGCGCGCTGTTTCGGTTTGCTTCATTATATATATTTCTCTATTTAATTTCTTCATGAGGATACACCTCCTTGCAGCATTTCTTTGACGAAATCTTCTTGGAGGGTTCCTTTATGGTGGCATCCCTCGCAGCATCCTTATGAAGATACCACTTCCTATGGCTTCCTTATGAAGATTCGTTTATCTGTTGCATTTTTATCACGATTCTTTCTGTGTCTTTTTTCCATGATGATGCTTTCTTTTCCTGCATCTTTATGATGCTTCCCCTCTTTGTCAATGCGCCGTCCTCGTGCCATGTGACTGTGATGTGTACTGTTTTGGCGCGGGACTCTGGTGCTGCTCGTCTTTGTTGCATTCTTTTAAGGATTCTTATATGTCGTATGTCTCTATTATAATGCTGCTTTGTGTTACATTCTTGCATAGCTACATCCTTCATGTCGCGTCAATATGAAGATGTTTCTGTGTGTGGCCCCTTTTTCGGGATGCTATTTCCTGTTCCATTCTTATGAAGTTCTCTTCTCTCATGTTGCGTCATTCTGAGGTATCCTCCCTTGTGGGGCACCTTTTTTCCTGAAGATTCATCTTACCGCGTTGTATTTTTAATATATTCTTTCGCTCGTCATCCTTATAGAGATGGTTTCTTCTGGCGTGTGACTATGAGGATTTTTGTTTGTGTTTCATTTCTTTCCTCACGATATTTCCCTTTTCGGGGGACGTGATGAGATCTGTTGTGGCGCGTGATTCTGAAAATTTTTCCTTGCGTGGCATATTTTCTACGAAGATTCCTCTTACTGCGTTATATCGATGATATTTTTTTCTGGGTGTCTCATAAAGATGGCTTTTCCTTTTACCATATAACCGCGAAGGAATCTTTTTGAGAGGCATTTTTCTTTATGAGGATATTCCTCTTCCGCGGAATTGTTTATGATGCTGTCTCCTCGCGGGATTCTGAAGATATTGTTTTGTGTCATTTGTTTTATAAGTATGCTCTTTCTTCCTGTGGCATCGTCAAGATGTGTTTGTGTGTGTTATTTTCTCTAGGATGATTCTTGCTCTTTGTGCTACTGTTAAGGTTTGCTTTCGTGTGTGATTTTCCCTATGAAGATGCTCCTCTTCTACGGCAAGGGTCAGAGGCTGTCTTGCTCTTTATCTTCTTTATGAGATCCTTCCTTTTCCTGGTATCTTCAGGAAGTTCCTTCGCCGTATCATTTTCAAGATATTCTTTTGCCTCGATTATTGTGAAAATGTCTCTTTCTGTAGGATCATTATGAACGGATTCTTCAGCTGCCTCCTTGTGAAAGTGCCCTTGTTACTACATCTCTGTTGATATGTTGTATTGTACGTGGTTGTTGTTTATTAGGATTCTTCTTCCCCAATATCATGATTGACGTATTTTTTTATTTCTCTATTTGGAATTGTTATGAACATATTTCCTTCTGGGAACTCTTTATGAGGATCCTGAAATATTTGAAATGTAAATTTCATAACCCTACCGATGTTGTAGCATTACGAGACAGGAATAATATACCCATGTGTGAAAGGGCACCTTTATCCCTGGTGTATTATTACTTCAGAAGTGATGATGTCCATCAGGTACTATCAGGTAAATAGCCGTGTTACCTAGTTAACCCTGTTAATTAAACAGCAGAGTCGTGTCAACGGTAGGAAATTTCTTGGAGTGTTATTGTAGGGAGGCTACTCACCTGTGCGTAGTACCCCTATTTTCCAACTATTGACATGCTTATCGTTTCGTTACATGAAGAGGACAAACCCGCCTGGGGTACTGTTCTTTGCAGAATAATCATGTGTATATCTAAGGGGGGTGCAGCGCTGGGAAGTACGTATAAGACTGTTATAGGAAGGGTATTGATTTCCATGTAGTAGTTTATGCGAAGGATTCAGAGTTTACACTTTCATTATATGAGAAACATTATTCTATGAAGTACATGGATATACCAGGAGAAATATTGCCTGAAGATTATTGAGGTATGAGGATTCACGAAGGTGAGGAGGGCACATGTTCCGATAATACCGTTATATCAGAGTACTAATGTTTCACCTATATGGATGAGTTCGAGTTCCATTATACTAAAAGTACCATTACGTGCGAAGGGCTGTGGAAGGATGAGTCCGATTCTCTTAGGAGCACTATTATTTGAACCATACGAATGTGCAAGGAGTGCATTTCTATTAAAAGTACATTCTTGACAATAATCATTTTATTTGAGGAGAACTACTGTTATGTATAGAACGATGTATCATCATAAATAAGAGATTCCCCGAATAGCATTATGTGAGGTTTCTTGATCTAAGGTCAACGGCTCCATTATATGAAGTACAGGTTTGTGAAAATCCTGTGGATTACATAGAATACTATTTTTTGAAGAATATTGCTACACCCAAGGTACTATAATATGCACCATACTTCCCTGTGTGAAATATTGATATTCCATGAGTTTGATGATTTGGAAACCACTACTCCGTCGAGTGTATAGATATTCCAGCAGATCTATTGCCTGAGACATACTGATGTGTATTCATTCTCATTGGTAAAGATTGCCCAATTCCTCATAGTACTGTTATATGAATGTACTAATGAGCCAACTATCTTCATATTTGAAGAGTACTGTTGTCTGTAAATCAAAGTCGAATAGGAGTAATAAATAATCAGAAGCTAAATTCTCTGAGCCATCTCACGTGTGTGTAGTATTCTTATTTGGAAAGCACAATTGTGCAGTGATAATCCATGTCTCAGAAGAGGGATTATTTAAAAAATTCCGATATACGCAGTGTGCTCTAATATCAGAACCATTATTCTATTAACCGTAGAGATAAACACGGCGTAGTATATAATAAATTAGAAGTATAATCCCCCAATCTTACCAAAGCAATAGATAAAACATTGAACGCTTCGTTATTTAAGTAAAAGCCTTGTTCCTACTACACTGATATCTTCCCATATGCAATAACTTATTTTTGAAAGGGTTAAGGTCTCCGCTGTAATATGAGAACATAACAGTTTTACCAAGTCCTTTGATGTATCTGGTGTAACATGGTTTGACCAAATGCGATTTCCTAAAACTAATATTAAACCAAACCTACTGTTGTCCCTTGGAAATCCTCAGGTTCCATAACATTAATGTCACCAAAATAGCTTTAACAAGAGAGTACAGATATCACTAGTATCCCAACCGCCCATCATTTTAGCCAAGAGGCAAGGGAAGGATCAAGTAGAAAGAGTTTCCCAGATGAAGTTGGTACCTCCAACATGAAACGCCCTTGGACAGGAATATCTATTCCAACAGAGAAGTGAATCTGAAGGATAAAACAATCTAAATCACTTAACCGTATCACCCCGAATAAGGATGAAGCTGAAAGGAGACATTCGCACAAAGAGTAGATTCATAAAACCGAAGAACCCAAAGAGAAAATAAAAAATAAGAATTTCTAAGCAGGAATAGGAAAAGAACGTCCAATCGCACAAAGAAGAAAAGCTGACCCCGGCCTAACAACCTTAGAATAAAGTATCAGGAGGCATATTAAAAGAGCCCAATACAAAATCAGATAGAAGCTAAATTGTTTGACAACATCCCTGTCTCAGCATACACACTAGTCTTAGGACTTACCCAACAGCATATTTAGGTACAGGATTTTGTCTCCTATATTGGTTAATGTTCCAGATTTTCTCCTGTTTCTATTATACCTTATGGCTTAGGTTAGAAGCTCTACAGTTCCATCCCCTGATCTACCATGTAATCTGCTATAAACCACTCTATGATCTAATACCAAGAACTAACTAATTCTTTTAAGGAGAATTATTTTTTCTTTAAGATTTTAGCAGCTCTCTTACCCCCTCTTTGGTTTTCATGCGATTCTAGCCCCATTTCTGATCAAGTTTCAGGAAGCACAGACAACTTCAATGTCACTAGGATTACAAGAAGGGTCTCCATTTTTATAGTATAACAGCTCATTAATATACAGACTAACAGATAGCTACCTAGCCCCCTTATACTCAAAGGTCTGACCTGAAAGATTATTTTGTCCAATGTATCTGATGTGTTAAGCTAATTTGGAATGTAAAGATTCCAATTAGTTAAACCGAATTCCTCATATAGCTTTGCTTTTCCGTTTTCCTATTCCTTTCCTAATTATCCCCAACAAGCCGATAAAGACAATTTATGAAGTTCAAAGCACCATGAGACTTCTCTTTATATATAGTAGAATTTTAAAAATAAAACAACTCCTTAAGAAGCCGTAACTCCTCCCAAAGGAAGATTTCAAGATCTCTATTGTAAAACCGTCACCCCGACAAGTTATAGATCATTTTCCCAATCGTCAACTATGACTAGCACCTAAAACAGCTGCTTAAGATGAACTCCTAAAGATAGGTACCTCTATATGTAATGTAACCACAATCCTTCTTAAATTGAAATAACATATGAGACAAGTAGGAGGAGATATTCGGTCACTCGAGGACAGAAGAAGGAAGGAACAACAAACCCCCCCACTCCAAAGTCCCAAATCGTGTAGGAGTAAGCAGAATAGGCACCCCAGCCAGAGGGGGGAGAGACAAATCAGCCCAAATCAATTATCAGGTATGAAGCCACTCTCCGAAGCAGAAACAATCTTAGAAGGCATATAAGGGGAGTGTAACAACAGAGGGTATAGTACGTTACAGATATCCGAATCAGGGTTTTTCACGAAACAAGGAAACCGAAGCTGCCCAAGGGCAAAGCAAAAGAGACCATTCAGTCAACTCCCCCCCAGAAGGGGCAACTCAATAATTTGGAACAGGCGGAGCTAGAAGCTTAAGAGGCTCCCAGATGAGGGGCTGAGCAAACAACAGAAAACATGGACAAAACCTCTCTCAGCTTAAGAGAACTATATCATGAGAAACAAGCCAACCCTAAGAGATCGAGTAGCGATCAAACCCAAAGAAACCAAAAACCCCAAGACTACAGGACCCACCGGGGAGGACAATGTTCTGGACCTCTCCTTAACAGCGTCCATGAGAATAAACCAGTTGAAAAAGGACAGAGCCCCGTCGAAACGCGGGGGGACTCTTATCTTAAAGATACAAACCGAGGAAGGAAGCTCAAGGTAAGAAGACACTGCCCATCAAGAAAACAGGCCTCAGGTCCCAAGAATAGGAGCTAGAAGAAACAACCAACCCAAGAAGTCAACATCAAATTAAGCCTTCGAGGGAACAGGCAATACAGGAAGATGACTAGTTAAGGGACAAGTGAAGTGAGGCCTGCCGCAAGAGCGAACAGGAAGGAAAGGGGAGCATCAGCCCCAACTGAACCAAAAAGGAAGCAGCCAGGGTGGGGAAGAGCCACACAACTCGCAGCAACACGCGCAAAAAATCTCATCTTCTCCTAAGGCTAGGCCAAGAAATAAAAGAAAGACCAAGAAGATGAACCATCAATCCTCCGATTCCCACGAGAAGAAACGGCCAGGAGCCTCACCACCCCACGAAGGTTGAGTCATGGAAAAAAAGCAAACAGAAGGCAGGAGCCAGGAGGGTAGACGGGACTATCCACCCCAGACGATAACCGGGCAGGCAGGATAAAGGAGAGGCATCTCAAGTAGAGGCAGCAGTCTAATTGGAGCCAACGCCTCAAAACCCCAACCTACCAAGAGAGGGAAGCACCAAATAAGGGCGAATGGCACAAGTAATAGTCACGACATAACAGGAGGAAGGGTTCGGGCCTTAGGGGATCTAAGTCAATTCCTGAAAGGGAGACAGGTCAGCAAGCTCAGAACAAGGGAGGGAAACAGGGCGGCAAGGAATTAGGTAAACTCCCCAAGAAGGAAACCGAAAGGGGAGAACCTAAAACAACCCCAAGAAGGAACCGAGGCAGGTCATAGAAAAGGATAGAAGATCAGGCAGGAGAATATCCAGGAGGAAGTGAGAGGACCCAGCCAAGGAAGGAAACAGCTGGAATCCCGCAAAGGACGGGCTACCAAACTCTCTGAGGAATACAGCAGAGGCCGACTCCAGGCCAAGCTATAAAGTCGACAAATTCCTCCAGCTACCCGAGGGAAATACAATACCCATCACCACAAACTAGCATCCACAGACAAAACGGGACTCCCGCAACGGCTCAGACGAGGGGACAGGAGAATAGAAAGGGAAGGATCACCAGCAAATGGAAAAGTCTCTGAAGAACCCAAGGGGACCCCCAAAGAAGGAGAGGATGCGCCCCGACTTATCCAACAGAAACACGAAAAGATACTCGAATAGAATTGACCCTCACCAAGCAAGACGGAGGAGGTTCATTTCTCTGACGCATCGACAACCAAACACGCCAGAACACCAACCAAGGAAAGGATCTAGACCCAAAGAACAATTGACAATTCGAACGGCGGAGAAAGAGGAAAACTCCAGGGAATACCCGCAAGACTCGCCAAAGAGGCAAGCACCGAGGAGGCCAAGCAAGAAAAAGGCCCCCAAGGACAGAGGAAACCGCAGAAAGGCAGCTCCGCAGGTAAAGAACCAGGAAGAGAAAAGGAACCCAGATAGCCAAGGATCAACTAAAAGACGAAAGGGGAACCATAGGGGAGGCAGCGAAACAAGAAGGGAGTCCGCCGACATAATAGTGAGTGACCAAAGAGTCCAGAGGGCCCACAAAAAAGACAAGGAAGCCTTGAAAGGAGGGCCGCCACAATCCACTTAGTTCAAACACCAGGCTCTCATTCCGAACAGGCGACCACCGAGAAGAGAAATTAGCATCGTCAGGGGGAACGGAGCAGAAATTAAAGAACCAGCCCGGCTGTCCTGCTACGATAAGAACTACCAGGACTGCGTAACAGACAACCAAGTGACCTCGGCGGGGTTAGTGACAAACAATCAGGCAACAGAGGAGACGTATGCAGGGACAGAAACCAATAAAGAACAAGGAGGGGATCTTCGAACTCGAAGAGGGAAGCAGGAACTCGCAGGCGGCAAGACAGAAACAGAAGGAGTGGGCGGGGAAAAGGTAACAAGGCAGGGGAAGGACAGGAAGAAGGAACAAGCAGGCAATCCCAGGGTTGAGGGAGGTACAGAAGGAAGAAAAGACAAACACCAGACTGAACGGATACAGATCTTGTCAGAAGTGACCTAAAATAGAAGAGGAAGCAGCGACAGAAGCTTCGGAACCGCACCGAATTTCATTGAGATCCTAGACTCAAGGATCACGTAAGCTAGAGAAAATTGCAAGAGAGGAGCCGGGGGGGCTGGAAGGGAGGCAAATGCAGTAAGGCTGAAACTCACAAGGACAACGGGTCGTCCCAGGGGACCAGAAGGGTCTGAATGATTCCCCCAGAAAAGGGCCTACGCCCAGAAGAGAGGAAAGGCGGAGAAGAGAGCGAGTCCGAACAGGAACCCGTAGGACAAAGATACGGCAACGGGGAGCAATAGGCATAACGCGGATCCCCAGGGGCAAAGGGGAAAGGTAGCAGGAACGTTCGGAGCGAGAGTCAGGTCAGAGGCAAGGACCAGAAGGGGAGAGACCACAGGCAACGACAAGCAGGGCACGGGGGATCAGGGACCAACGAGGGCAAAAGGAACCAAGGCAAAGGAAAAGGCAAAGCCAGACTGAGCCCTCCCAAAGGAACGAGGGGAGGAGGGCCAGGAGCCAAGGAGATCATAGAGCCTTAAGCAGGGGCACATCCGGAGGAGGGCTCCGGAGAAACTAGTATCATCAGCGGAGGGAATCAAAAAGTACGAGAGGGCGTAGATTGGGGAAGGGAGTATAGAGGGAAATAAGAAAAACAGATACCGAAATTTCTCGGGGCCTTCTGGGCGAGGGAGGACGCAACCGTACCAAAGCACCTCAGGAGGCACGAAACCGCAGCACCCGTCTGGAGACAATCAGGGAGAGGGACTAATTGGCGCGCGAGTGGGGGGCGGGGCCGAAGGAACAGAAACTCTGGTGACTAAGGGTCCAGACCGTCGAAGGAAAGGAGGACTCTCGAGGAAGTTTGAGCCGGAGGACCAGGGGAGGATATATTCCAAGAGGGGCAGGATCACAGGATGGGCAACTTAGGCTCCGACGAAGAGGATAACGGTCAAGGGAGAACCAGGTTCGGAAGGGGGGCAGCAGGAAGGAGCTAAACACCGAACCTCGGAGCCCGAAGCCGAAAGGAGCAGCAGAGTGGGCGACTCATAACAAGACTAGGATGGGGGGGAGGGGCAAGTCCTGAAGCAGGAGAAGAGAAGTAGAGTCAGGAATAGGAGTTCGGGAAACTGGAAGTCGTTTAGAACAGGAGAGGCCGAATTCGAAGCAAAGAGCGGCTCCCATAGGATGGGGAGGAGGGAACAGCCTATAGGCGTGGGCCAGCATCAAGACCAAGTGCACCGCAGAGTAGGCGTGCGAGGGAGCATGACCAGAAGCTTAAGAACAACAAAACGGGGAAGGCCAACGGATATCCAGGCGGCAGCAAAGGAGACGAGGGCGGTAACAAGGGGCTAATTCTTAATCGCTAGGGCAGGGAAGGAGCACGAGCGGGATGAGGAAGAGGACAGCTCAGGATCACCAGCGGGTGGCAAGAAGAGCGAGAGAGCATAGAGGGGAGACAGAAGAGGGGCAAGGGAAGAAGGACACTTGCGAAGCGGAATCGGAGGCGAATAACAGGACCCAAGGAACCATAAGCGGACAGGAGGCGTCCATAGATCAAAGGGTCAGAGGAGGAGGGGGAAGCAAAAATTTCGACGTGACAAAAAAGAAGCCAAGGCCAGACCTGCGACGACACCCGTTCAGAGACGCCGGCCAGGGGGTCAAGAGGGAGTAGATTGAAGGCAGAGGGAGCTTAAGAGGATAAGCAAAAGGAAAAGGATCGAAGCGGTAGATAAGATGACAAGTTTAAAGAACTATCTGAGCACTCTAATTGAGTTAGCCACTGATGCCGAGGAGGGGAGCGGGGGAGGAGGAATCCGACTACGGCTGAACAGAGGAGCGGGAGCTAAGCCGAGGGACGTCCTAAAGGATCAAGGGACCAGATGGAAGCAGATCTTAACAACAGCAGGGACTGAGTGTCCCGTGACAGAGCAGGTGAGCCTCATGTTATGCAAAGGGCTGGAGAGATGGTTTGGGGGATTCATTCAGGAACAAGGGTCCAAAGTAGTGTATCGGGAGGGAGGCTGCAATGCCGGCACCATCGCCGCCACGAACGCATCTAGGGACCTTATTAGGTGTCCCTACAACAGCAACAAGGAAAACTGGCAATTTTATGATCTGAAGACGCCACTATCACTGGGGAAGGCAGAGACGAGAACATTTATAGTCTGTCGGGATATAATAGCAATATTTCTGACAGGCTTAGTGAATATACACAAAAACGAAGAAGCTTGGATAGAGAACACATCGGGAAAGGATCCGTGCCAGTGTCTATATGACTGGTATAGGCAATGGGGAGGTAAGGAAGCAGCCGAAAGGGTAATGGAGTTACTTTTTCCAACAGGAGGGAGATTAACGTTAGGAGGATCGTCTCTACAAATGACCGAGAAACAAGCAGACAAGTGGTGGGCCATTCTCCTTCGGGGCGTTCCACTAATGGTCGAAGGCTTACAATGTTCTAAAGACCCAGAACACGAAGGCAAATATACGACAAGCTGTGTGAGATATAGGCAGGACAGGGAATGTCACGCTCATCCGCCTGGCACTTGGAATCCAAACATTGCGACACAGGTAAAGAGTCTTGCCGAGCCGAGCCCACGCAGGAGCCAATTATGCGTGAGCGACGCCAAAGTCCAGCCACAGCACCTCAAGGGGGAGCGCTTTGGAAGGTTGTGCCGATGCTATAGCAGGAGAGAGCAAATCGGTTGCAGACGCCGCAACAGGCGTTGATCTAGTAGCTGAGCAGGAGAGGCGGATTAAAAGATCATCCATGAGCGAGAGCAGCGTTGAATTAGGCGTTCAACCCTCCTCAGAACTCTACGTGACGAAGCGCCGATTGCAACCCCCCCCCGGGACGGGCGCGGGGTGGGGGGGGGACTTATGGTTCGCCATCCAGACGCTCTGAGCCTTCCGACGCAGCAGGAGTCTCGGGTGCGTTGGGCCATGCAATGAGAATAGAGAACAAATAAACGATAATTCAAAACTTCTTTAGGGATTAGTTCTTGAGACGGGGGAGACAACGGACAAGATACAAGAGAATTTGGACAAAGTAATAAAGGAGCAGGTGGACGACCAGGAGAGGGATCAGCCTCAGCAGTGGGGGGTTTTGGACATCGTGAAGGTGGTAGTAGGAGCGGGGATTTCTGGAGGATTTATCCCATTAGCTTGGTACATGTGGAGGAGGATATTCCGTAGACCCACTAGAGTAAGATCGCAGGAAACCAAAACCTTGGCGTATGGGAACCGCCTTTTCAGCTAACAGGATTTGCCCCCTCCCAGGCAGGTTACACGTGGGACTTCTCTTCAATAGGGTAAGGCGAGCCACTGACTCAGCGGAATTTGGAGCAGCCGAAGGAACATTAGAGGCGAGGAAGCGGATTATTTGACACAATCGCTTCTTCCTCGCTAAAGGGGAGGGAGGAAAACGAAACAAGGAGCTCCAGGTAAGAAAAAATGCATCAGTGGCAGACTTTATTTTTCTCCCGACTAGCGGGTGCGGAGGTTGAGAAAAAGAAAGAAGAAGCAGAAGTGGACCAACCACTTCGACGGTTGAGTATGGGAGACGATCAAGGAGAGTCTAAGAGGAAGGTACGGGGGACTACCAGAAACCAGAAAAAACACACTTGCACGGAATTCATTTGGGAGCTTACAGGACTCTGGGCGAAACCCTGACTTTGGTCCATCTTCGTAAGCGGCGAAATACGGGGACAGAGAGGAGAGGGGACCACCTGCTGTCATCAGCAGTTTAGTTCCAGGAGACAAGAGGGGAAGATTTTTGAGGGATTACAAACAACAGACACAGTGTTTGCGACTTAAAAGTGGAGGACACAGGGACCTTGAGTGGGCCCCAAGAAGTCTGGTATCAACACGGAACCTGAAGGGATCCAGAACCTCCCCGACCACCGTAAACCTCTGATAATAGGGGGGTGGGGACCCAATTTGGTCCTAAGGACCGGGCATTTCATGAGCTCTTGTTTAGAATTTAATTTCGGGGGAGGGAGAGGACAAAGGGGATGGGACCATTGACCATGGAGCTTTAATTCTAGAGTTGGGGATCTACAGTTTATGAATTAGAGGGTAGAGGCTAGAGTCCAGAGTTGGGATTTTCCAATGAGCAATTGGACGTTAAACCCCAACACTTCTGTAATGGCACTCTGGGAATGATTCAACATGCCATTTACGTGGCAATTGAGGGTCCCGAGTGATGCGGTCTCTTTGGGGAGATCTGGATTAGCTGTTTAGGTCCCTTCTGAGTTGTTGGCTCCTCCTCCTAGGGTCCGTTGTTTGTTCCTTAGGAGTTACTTTTCCAGTTTAGGCTCAGGTTTCATGGCTCAGGCTTCCTGGTTATCCTTAGTCTTCTGTGATTCTAGGTATTAGTAGTTGGGCTTCAGGGGGGTAGGCTCTAGGGGTCAGGGGGAAATGCGGCTGTTCGGGGGGTTCAGGGTTTATGGCTTAGTGTTGGGGGTGTTGGTTTCGGGTTTTTAGCCTCTAGTTTTTAGCCTTAGGGTTTAGGGGTCACGGGTCGGTTCTAGGGAGTTGTTCTAGAGCCTTAGTGCCTCGGGTTTTGCACCTTACGCCTACGTTTCTAGGGTGTATGGATTTGGCATTAGTCTCTGTCTTTGGTCCCATGGCTTATTGTTGAGGGCCTAGGGTTTATTGGTTATGGTGTAGGGTTTTGGTTGAAGGCTTCAGCTTTCTGGGCTGTTTGTGCAGGGTTTACGGGGTATATCGCACGATTTATGGTTTCGGCTTTAGTGTGTTGCGAGTAGGGCTTAGGCTTTATATTTTACGGTTTAGAGAGCAGTCTCGTCGGCTTATGTGTTTCAGGGCCGTTTTTACCTTTAAGTGTAGTGATTAGGGGTCAGGATTCAGGTTGTAGGGGTTATGGTTTTTGGTCTTTGTTTTAGGGTTCAGGAGGTGGGGATTTAGGGCGTAGTTTTTGGAGTCAGGGATTGGGGTGCAGTGGTCAGGGTTTAGGGTTTAGGGTTTAGGGCTCAGGCTCTAGTTGGTAGCCGTCAGGTTTCATGTTTTAGATTCTAAGGTTTCCTTGTTCAGGGTTTAGGGTTTAGTCCTCAGGGGTCAGGATTAGGTTTGGGGTTCAGGGTGTTGGCTTTAGGTTCCATTGTTTAAGTTTAGGTTCAGAGACTAGGGTTTGTGTGACAGGGGCCAGGGGGGGGGGAGAGGGATTTCTGATTATGGCTAGCTTTAGGGTTTAGTATTTTAGGGTTTAGGGTCCAGGTTTCAGTGCTCTTGTTTCAGGGGGTAGGGTCTATGCTTGAGCGGTTTCGGTCCAGATGTTCTGGGTTTATGGCTTTAGGTTCAGGGGCTTTGTCCATGGGTTTCGATTTATGGTCCCGGGGTTAGGGTTCAGGTTGACGTTTAAGGTGCCAGGTCTTATGATCATAGGTTCAAAATATCCTTTGTCAGTCTCCAGGTTTACAGTCTATCTTTAGTTGTTATGTGTTTGGTTGATTTTTCTTGTTTTCAGGGGGAGGCTTTAGCATTAAGGGCCTTAGCTTGTAGCCTCCTTATGTTCGGGATTCACGGTTTCGGGCCTGTTTTTTAGGCTTCAATGGGATCTTTCTTATTCGTTAGTGTTTATGCTTTCAGGTTCCAGGTTTCAGGGTGTGCGTTTATTTTTCAGGGGTTCGGAATTGGTCTTTTGGATTCAAGGAGTTTCGTTTAGGGAATTTGTTCCAGTGTTTAAGATCAGGGTTTAGTGCTTATGATTTACTGTATAGGCTTCCACCTCCTAGTTTCTATGGTGGAGATTTAGGGTATACTATGTAATGCTTAGGGTAGTAATGGGTCCATGTTTCAAGGTTCATCTCTCAGGGGTTAGTTGTAGTTGCCCGGCCTCAGGGTCTATGTTTAGGGTTTAGCATTCAGGCGTAAGGGTTAGGGTTCATGCTTAGGGTTTAGGATTCAGGGTTTGGGGTTTTTGGTTTATGCTTATTTGTTTAGGGTTCAGCGGTTAGGGATTAGTCTTACGTTCTAGCTTTTAAAGTTTAGTTTTTATGTTTCACCTGCTGGGGGTCCGGCTTAAGCGTCTGAGAAGTAGTTGTTGAACTCGGATTTCAATCTCTATTGTGTTCTGTTATAGGTCCTAGGTATTAGTGTGAAGGGTTCACGGTTTAGGTTTGAGGTCTCTGGGTTTAGATTTCGGATTTATTTCTATTCTTCCGGGGTTTGAGTTTTGGCCCCAGTGTTCACGGTTCAGGATTGAGGTCTGAGTTTCCCGGATTTTGTTTCTGGAGGCTAGTTTGTTGGCCTTCGGTTTTCAGAGTTTACGGGTTAGTTGTTAGTTCTCATTGTCTACGAGCTTGGGGGTCACCAGTAGGGTTTATTCTTTTGCGGGTAGTGTTTAGGGTTTAGGATTAAACGCTTAGTTTTCGGGCCCTCGACGTTAGGGTTTAGGGTTCCAGGGGGTAGTTTTAGGGTTTAGGGTTGATCGTTCATGGCTTAAATTTTATTTTGTACTATTTAGTTCTCATGGATTAGTGGTTATGGTTTAGGTATTATCTTCTTGCGTTCAGTTTTTAGTTGTAATCTTAAGGCTTAGGTTTTATGTTCTGAGGGGGAGTTGTTACCATCTAGGGGTTCCGACTCGGGATTAACTCTGGACGGTTGAATGTTTAGGCTTTGGGGCCAGCTTTACGGATCAATTTAGATCTCAGGGTTGGGCCTTTAATCCTTAGGGTTCAATTGGTAGGGTTTAGGTTTAACATCTTGGATTTATGTTTATTTTTCAGGGTGTACTGTTCAGGGTCTACGATTTAGGGTTTAGTTTTTAGGTTTTATTTATAGGGGGTCGGTGTTTAAGGTCCACGCTTGAAGGTTTACTCTTCTTGGCTATGGTGTCTCCCTTCATGTGCCAGGGTGCAGGGTTTATGGTTCTGCCTTGGATTCCCCGGTTTAGGGTCTAGATCCTAGGGGTTACTTTTAGGCCTTAGTTTCAAGGTTTATTGTTTAGGGCTTAGGGTTTAGTTCTGACACTTCCTTTCTTATGCTCTATATCTCTGCCGTTACGTGCACGGCCGAGGTTTCAGTGCGTTTGTGGCTTCGGATTTTGTTTCTACATCCGCGCCTGGCGGCTCATGCCTGTGGCTTCGGCATCTTGCCTTTTTTCTTATCTTTTAGGGTTCCGAAGGTCAGCTGTTAGCTCTACTCGAGAGAGTTCCCTACTGTGCTTCCGGAGTTTCCCAGGTTGTTATCCTTGGGCTTCAGTGATGGCGCTTTCCGCTTCTGATTTAGTGTTTAAGAGTTAGGTGATATATTCGTCGGTTCTGATTTAGACCCTGCGGTTTCAGGTGCTATGTGTCTGATTTAGACTACTGTGATAGTTTCTGGGTATTTGTATCAGGGTTCTGTTGTTATGGATTAGGATTTATGTTCTAAGTTGTACGTTGAGTGCCGGTTGTGCCGCGAGCATGGTTTTGCTTCGATTTTGGAATTTCCAGAGGTCATAGCTCCTGGATTTATGGTCTAGTTCTCATGGGGTATTGTTTTTGTTTTAATATTTAGTTTTTACTCTTCAAGGTTTAGCCTACAGGTGTCATGGCTTATTCCTCATGGGTTACTACTATAGGTTCTAGTTTTCAGGTGTCCGTACTTGGACGTAAGTGTTGTGTCAATGTCTAGAGCCTATGGCTTATACCAGATGCGTACTTGCATGTTACGCTTGCTTATTTTGTGCTTAGTACTTCCCCTCTATTCTAAATTCCCTGGAGTTACATTCGGAGAGGTATGTTTTGCACTTTATCCGGCATCCCGCTGTAACTTGGTTTTCACGGACGACATTTTCCTTGTTGATTCCGCGGTTTGGTTTCTAGGATTGATGATTTCCTTGTTGTCCCGTCTGCTGTGGTTAATTTCGTGGCCGTATGTTTTAGGCTTAGATTTCATATTGTATGACCTAAGGTCGAGGATTTAGCCCTGTTTATTTAGATTTGGTATCCAACCATGGACGTCCAGGGTTCAGGGTTTGGTCTTCGGGGTTTCAAGGGGGCACCTGGACTTTATAGGGTGGGGGACTCAGGGTTCTGGGGGTGGAGGGGTTCCCGTAGTTTGTATGGCTTATGTTTTTAGCCTTTGAGTTGAGTTTTAGGTTTTAGGGGCTATTCCTAGTTTTATGCCCCCGACTCTGCCTCTATTGTTGGTTGCTCTTGGATTATCCTGTATTCTTTCCTTCTTGCTTTTGTGGAGGCGTTTCTTCTCCTTTACCTGTTAGGCTCAACTTATAATTCTTCCTGTGTTGTT